AATCACATGCCATGTAGAAAATAGACATAGTCTATAAAAAAAATGTTTCACAATGCAATTAAAAGTGGACTTAGTCTAACTTATGTGGTACTAGAAAAAAGAGACTAAGTCCACACTTGTCTATTTTGGACCCAAGTGCAAACCCACCTAGTCATTTATTGTTCATAATTTTCTTTTTCTTTTTAATAGGCAAAACACATTTTTTTGTATGCATTTATTATTACTATATTTTTATTGGTTGTTTAATATTATAGACCTAGTACTTTTTTGTTTTGCATTGGATATATTTTGGTTATTTTAGCTTGAGTTTGTCCATGTCATTAAAATATAGAAGAAAGAAGCGTTTCCACCACTCTACCACCCAGCCAATTCTGTTCCACTTAATCCCTCTTTCATAGCCACATATCCTTCCTACATGGCTTGTTTGGAACTTTCTATACACTATTTTCATCAAGGCTTTTACCATAATTCCCGAACCAGAGATTCAGACCGTGGCTTGTGGCGTCGTATCGTAATAGAGATCCTACAGCCCTTGTAGCTGGACTTAAGTCAATTTATTTGCCACATATGCAAAAAGAGACCCAAAGCATTGTGGGTGCTCTAACTGCAAATGTGTGCTATAGTTAGTATTAAATTAAACGAGTTGGCTCAGCTTGGCTCAAGCTCGGCTCTCGTTTGGTTAACGGTGCAAGTTCGACTCAACTTGATAAGGCTCGTTAAGCTCGAAAAGTTTTTATATAATTTTTTTATAAAGCATCTCGATAAAGCTCGAAATCAGTTTGTTAAGACTCGAATTCGGCTCAGCTTATTAAGAGCTGAAGTTCGAGCTCGAGCACACCTAAATTTGAGCTCAGCTCGTTTATAAATCTAGTTGGTATATAAAATTAGGTTGGATTAGAGTAGCTTTTTGGGTTATTTATTTTTTTCATGTTCGACTATACTTCCAAATTCCAATCCCAAATAGAAAAATGATCTTTGATCCATGATTAAGAGATTTTTGTAATAGAAATACCGTATGATTTTGTATATAATACTAATTATTTAATTGTTTTTCTATTGGTATATATGTACGCTTCTTTTAGGGTAACATATGGCTATTGCAAACCGATAAAAAAAAATAATAATAATAAAAATAAAAAGAGGTTAAAAGGATAGTTTCCGTTGCCGGGAATTGAACCCGGGTCTCCTGGGTGAAAGCCAGATATCCTAACCACTGGACGACAACGGATTTACACTAACTGAATCTTGTCATTAATTCATATCACTTTTTTCAAGATCAATTTGTTTTACCGGATTTACACTAACTGAATCTTGTCATTAATTCATATCACTTTTTTCAAGATCAATTTGTTTTACAATCGTGTATCATTAGTATTAATCCTCCTTTTTTTTAAAAAAAAAAGGATTTATATAAAAACTAGTAAAACGCGTCAACGTCCGTGTATTACACGGGTGCTTGCTAATTTTTTTTCTTAAAATCTAAAATTAATGAAAAAATGTAGTTGAAAAATTTAAATACCATGTATAAATATATATATATATATATTATTATAAATTTAGTATGACATTTTTTATTTGTGCAACTTACATGTGTTATATTATAATAATTGTTTTAACCAACAACATATAACTACATTAAACATAAATATATCATTTGAGAAATAATTTTATTTTTCTAATGAATTTTAATATATATTATTTTTTATTATTATAAAGATAAATATAAATTATTTATTTCATACAATATGGATGTCAAATCGAAGATCATCAAAAGATGATTAATTTGATATTTTATATATGTAAAACTGATAAGAAGTACAAAAGTTATCAACTTTTAAAATACATTTATAATTCAATAGTCAATTGAAGGAAACAAATCAAATGTCAGGGATATATTAATCAGTTAGTGCCTAGTGATATTAAAATACCTAAGTTGGCTAAATAATATTTATGGAATGTTCAAACCTAAATTATTAAAAATTAATATATCAATATTATTTGTCCAAACCCAATTACAAAGCATGATTCTTTGCCAAGTAGGATTTTGAAGTACCAGAAGCAACCACGTAGGCTCAGTGCATTCGGGAATAATATATAGGGAGGAAGGATGTTCTTCCAATTCGGAAAAAATGTGTTTTTAATGCACTTAAACATCCGTTCTCTATCCATCTTTAAAAAGCAGCACCAATAGAACAAATATATGTCAAACTGTTTTTTTTTTTTTTTTG